GGATCAATGAAGTTTGTCTAAATCTACATCTTTATGAGTTGGCTGATATATTGGCCGATATTTGCACTGTCTAAAGAGTACATGTATGCTTTATTTGAACACATTGTTGTGAAGAGATTACTACTCAAAACGTTCCTAGACAGCCCTCTTAGGTTTGCAGTAAAAAAAATGCAATGAGTGAATTTTTAGTAATATCAACCCAAAAAAGACGGCAGAGCTTACTGGCCATCGGGTTCTCATCTGGATTTTAAATCGGTATCGGCACTGGCCACAAAAGAACCCATATCGGTCAAACTTTATCTTCTCTCATCTAAAACCAAAAATGAAAGCGAACAAAAATTAAACAAATGTGTCACATTTTAGTCATAATCATACAGAAAGAATCATGGTCAGAGGTGTAAGAGTAGGGAGGATGCTTCTTATAACTGTGAAAATGAACTTGCACCTTGTTTTGGTTTGACACAGAAAACAGATTTAACCTTGGAAAAGCTGTGACCACTGTCTGAAAACTTAGCGTTGCAGTGTCAGAAATACCAAAGAGGATTAAAGGAGACCTCGAGAACATCAGACATTTTGTTTTGGAAACTTAGCAGAGACATCAGAGCCTTGTGTTGTATTTGCTGTTTAAAGACTGTGGGGATGCTGTGCCTGGCTTTTTACACTGAAGGTTTGACTCATAAAACCTAAGCTAGTCTTAACCACAGCTGTTGCTCGGATACCAAAAGGTTATGCTGACAACCTAATGGTGAATGTAAATTTGCTTTAATAAATGAGCAATTGAACATTTGCAGTACACACAGACATAAATGGTATCTTTAATCTGGTTTACTATCTTTGGTCATGTGTTCTTGTGCATGGAGAGAATGTCACGTCTGCTCTTTAATCTATAAAGTGGCAGTTGCGTTGTTTTGTTGGACTGAGATGAACTTTATCGATCCACATTAGGGCTGCACAATGTATTGCAATGAATGTTTAGATAATATAATATCTTCTGCAAAGAACTGTATCCTGTTTTTAAAAAATCTTGTACCAATAATTTAGATGCATATGTATTCTGAAATGCCTGGGATTCTTGTACTTGTTTATAATATTATTTCAGTCTTCTCACAAATGGTAATGCTCCTGGAGTGGTTTACAATGTGCAGAATCAAATAATGCAAATCTAATGGCAATCACTTCACACAATTAGATTTTTTTCTAAAATTGTGCAGCCGTTATCCACAAGGGAAATTACTAATAAACATACAAATACTTCTACTACTACAAATAAGAGTAGGGGTAATATAAAATACAAGCAAGACTGAAAGTTGTCTAGAAAGTTCTAAATTTGATCGTGTAGTCAGAGCAGCAGAACTCCTGGTCGGTCCAGTACAGAGCAGTGACCTCTGCCTTGAGTGGGCGTAGAGCAGCGTGTCCTCTGCTAAACTGGAGGACCATTTGAGATGTTGCTCTGAGCTGCAACCCAACACCTGCACGCACACACACACAGACAGACACAAGCACCGCTGAAGGCTGGCGCTGCTTTTTCTCAAACCTGATATGCAGTCATAAAGAATGCCATTTTGAAGTGGTGAAAAATTGAGGTATTCTTTTAGGATTGTGTTAGTGTTCTATTTAGATGCTAAAGGCTAAAATCTAGTAAGATAATATGGAGAGTAGATTTGGACATTTGAACAAGTATTGAAATCACTTAAGACAAAATAAGACCTTTCCTGAATAGTTTTATAATGGTCCTGATCTTTATTAGGACCATTGCTATAGATATTCAAACTTTAAAACTAAATATCATAACATTTTAAATGGCCAAACTCAAATATGTAATAATATACATAAATATCAAAGCCCCATGGTCAATTTTAAGAAAGTGCTACTTCTTTTGTTTTGAAAAATTACATTCTCATTCATTCAAAATCTCTTTATCAAGCCTTTTCCTTAGTATCAAAATCAAGTTTGAAATTTTAGCCTGACATCATTCACTCTTTTGAGATGTGGAATACATTCTCTGAACATTTGTCACACGGTTTGGTTGGATGAATCATTGGGGGATGACAGTTTAAGCTGGTGAGTTGCTTTCTGGGCGAGCTGAGTGCCGATTTCAGTGGCATAATAACCCTCTGGCCTTAATCCTGCTTAACCACAAGGGGGATTCCAGTGCTCTCCCACTCCCTACGGCTGTGGAGCCTCACATATCACAGACAGAGGTGTCATAAAGAAATGCATATTGGATTTTGTTGTAATATCTACAAAATGTTGACAGCTATTTGGAAATCTGGACATTACATTCAGTCAAATTGGGGAGGTTAAATGTGAAGGATGACGTGGTGACTGAACAGGGCATGTCTAAATGTTAATATCTTGTTCTGTTTTAATATATGCCTCACTGTTTTTGTTCATTAGGTAAAGAAAATAACAAATCATGTATTGTGCATGTACTGTATTGTGCCTTTATCTAAATTGAAATAGGGTGGGATAGACAGAGAGAGCGATAGTGAGAGGATGTTACAGTTGGAAGGGGGGGTTGCTGCTATCCTGTGGCACACACCCAAGCCCCTCACCCACTGGGGGCACAGTCTGACAGTGCGCTTGATGACTTATGTAGTGTATTAGTCGCCCAAAGCCTGAGTGTCTTCTTGTTGAGCATAAGAGAATGTATAGACTATATGTGATGATATGAACTGGCATTTCTGTGCCACATGGGATTCACACACAAGTGTAACCAGGGGCAAAGCACAAGGAGAAGAGTATTTGGTTCAAGCTAATGAAATGAAGAACTAATGGAATTCAGATATGGTTTTGTGGGCTTAAAATACATGGCTTGTGAATAAGTAGTGTCGTGTTAAAGGTGCACTATGAAAGTTTTCTGTTCCTTTTTGGTTCAAAGGAGTTGTTATTGTTTTGCCTAGAATGTTCCACAGTTATACCTTTCTATTTCCATGGACACAAGTAGGGCACGCCACCAGTGACAGTCAGATCTGTGGAGTAATTGCATTCCACTGCATGTTTTTCAAGATATTTTTGAACAATGAAAACACCTGTAATTCAGTAACTGCAAGACAGATTCAGTGCCATAGTATGGAACATTTCTGACAAAGTAACAATCTTTAGCACATCTCTGTAAAGACAATCAATGACATATCCCCCACCAGGAAAGTTACAATTACAAAAGTGTTTACAAAAGTGAAGCTTTAAGGAGCACAGATGATGATGTTGCAGATTAAGATAATCTCAAATAAAAATTTGTTACAATACACTAGAAAGTATCACCAAATCATGTGATAAAACCAGACATTTGAAAGATGAGAAAGGTCTGACGAGTTTTTATTCTTATTTTCAACTGGTCTGGTCTGTTTCTTTATAGTGCCTTTCAATGGCATGTCTTGTTTACTAGATCACTATGGTGAACATGCAACTGTCCGGTCTGAAAATAGCCTCTGCTTGGCCTTTGGGGAAGTCCTAGATACATGCCTCTCTGTCTGCTGCCCATTCTGTAGTATAGTGCTATGTGTGTGTACAGTACTATGTGTGTATATATGGTCATTGGTCACCCAGTTCTGATGCACTGGACTGGACCAGAGCAGGAGGCCATGAGGGTGAGTCTGCCCTCATTAATACTGTGTCAGTGGCCCACAGTCACAGAAAGTCCCAAATGAGGGTCTTGTCATTATCATTGTTTTGGTTTAACTGGTGGTCTGTAAACCCTCTCTGTAAAAGTAATGACTGCTCGGTTGATTGTTCAAATGTGATCTTTGTGTTTATCTTTTGTGTTACCTTTGGGTAGGAGGTTTAACACATTAAGGGTACTGAGACTACTATACGGAATTCTACTTCAAAAATTTATGTTAAAAAATCTTACATTTTAGTAATAGGCCACAGTATTGAACTGGATAAGCAACATGCACCAGGTATATATTGTTTAAGTCCTAAAAAAAAAAAAAAGCCAGATTTCTGAAATTTTTGATGGTAGGAGTCCAGCTCGGTCTGTTATAATGTTGTTTCCTCATCGAAAACATGTGGTTTTATTTTATTCACACATGTTTAACACGCTAACCCTGCATATTTAGTTCTTCTCTCACACGGAAAACACAAAATAATAATAATAATTTCAGCCCTGTGATTTCTAATCTAAAAGGAAAAAAGTAGTTAACTTGAAATCTATCACTACATGACGTCACAAGGTGGAACAGAGCATTTTGAGCTTTGGAGATGTAGACTGACTAATAATAAACCATTTCTCAAACATGTGTGAATGGTATGTATGTTTTTGATGAAATTCTCAATAATCCATTTTGTATAATTCATAACTAGTTTTACATTATGTACCTCTTATTTGTAAAAAAATGAACAATTGAAATGTACCCAGCAGTTCTAATTGTGAGTGGTTGAATTTTGATTTTGGAACTTGAGAGTTCTGTTCTCCTTGTACATGTTAAATATTGATAACTTGTTAACCTGGGTTTTAGTTTCGTACCTCTCTGTACTTGTATCGACTTGCAGCCGCTGGTACAGCTGAGTGCAGTTTCCCCGGTCTGGCCTCTCTGTTAAGTCCACTGACTAGAGCTATTTACTCAACAGAGTCAGTGGGACATTGAATCCTAAATCTACTCTCTTCTTCACGCACCAATGGTCCAATTATCAAACTAATCACAGCAATACCTACCAGCAGGAAATGCCACCATGTGAATGAGTGACTGAATCCATGAGGGGAAGTGGATGGGTACAGAAATTCAATTGCCAATTCAATGTTTTGTATGAATTATTTATTTGTTTCAAGTGACAAAAAATATAACAATTAGCAATTCAAAAGAAAATATTCTGTTATTTGTACAGAATGTTCAGAAGTCTTCAAACTGGTGTCTATAACAGAGAAGAGAAAAGAGTCACATGCTTGAATCCCAAGATACATGACTCAAAGAATGTACTTTACTGTTTTCATTGTGCACTTTGCTAATTGTGTTTTTCTTTTCACTCCTTTATGACGAATGGCTGCTCCCGTTCTTCAGAAAACAACCCAAGGTATGTGCAATATACAGCATATTTTTGTGTTTTACAATTGTTTTACACATATTTTACACTAAATATGAATTAAATGGCTTGAATTATTTTTTTTTGTTTGATATGTGTGACTGGCCTTTATAGTTTAACTGGCTTTTCTTATTGTATATATATATTTTTAAAATAATTTATGCTATTGAATTCATTTTCACATATAGGCCTGTCACGATAATTACTACATCAATTTACCTTCAATATATGTAAAATGAAACATAATTTTTTTGGGATCAGTATTAATTGTGTGTAAAAATTTTTTGCTCTACTGGGAAATAATTGTTAGTTTTTTGACTATATGATGTTTTGAGCTGTAGAAAGTTGAATTAATAACTTCTATGACATTTGTATCATTACAGATGCAAACTAAGTACTACTGCTTTTGGGTATTGTGTCAGTGGCATACATTTTTCAATACTATTAATCAATACTATCATTTATCATCTATATTTACTTCATCAATATATCACATTTGTTATTGTTACAGGCCTTTTTATGTAAATAAAAGTATAAATAAGTAATAAAGTAATAAATAAGTAATGTACAGATGCTTGACCAAACAGAAGTTTCCAGAATATAGTCCTTCAAAGTAATTAAACTCATCAAAACTACTGAAATCACGAAAACAATATTCTGTATGTGGTTGATTTTAACTCTATTAGGGCATTTAGTGTGGCATGTTATTACATCAACACTTTAGACAGTAGTAGCTTATAGCACAGGAAGTCAGCACTTTCCCCCGGTCTTTTGAAGTAGTGACCAGGTCCGAGTTCCTGTAGGGCCCTGTTCTTCCTGTACGGCTGCTGTGGTCCTGTTTCTAAGGACAGGATACAAAGAGGTTTATTTTATTTATTTAATTATAAATAATAACAAATAATAACAAATACAAATAAAGATTTAAAAGATGATAAATGCATAAATACAGCAATAAGAGAAAACAAAAGGCCAAAAAATCTGCATAATTTCATAGTGGACAATTTTCATGTGCTTTTTTGGTCTGTTTTGGTTTGTAGATTGACAAGTCATCCATTTCAATTATGAACATTTTCATTTAAGGATGTAACATTTTGCATAAACAGGTTAACAATGCATTTTATCTTATGAGAATCTCCTTTACCATAGCACAACTACTACTATAATAATGCCCAGAAACAGGATAGAGAGTGTGCGAGTAGTTTGCTCAGTCAGCAGGAGCAGGAGGGGTGTCCGTGTGAATAATGTGTCTTTGCAGAGAGTGAGAAAGAAAGAGAGAGAGAAGCAGGCAGAGAGGAAGGCAGCGAGAGAGAGGGATAGAGAGGGATGGGCTACATTTGGGCACATTGTTGGCCTGGACCCCCTGCTTCCTCTGCTGACAACACACTGATGTCTAGCTCCCAGATATTTCAACAGGGGCTGGCACATTGGGGCTTTTGAGGGGAGATCTTAACTAGAGCAGTTTTTCTTTTTCTCTAGCAAGTACAGCGGTGGTGATTTGTACTTGTCAGGATCTTTGTTATTTTTTTCTTTTAAAACTATTGTGTGATAAAATAACGGAATAATCATGAGTATTTCAGAACATGTTTGAAGAGGTCCAAATTACAGAGTCAGCAGGTTTTAAGCAGGTTATTATACTTGGCAATTTTCTAATAGCAACCATTTAAATTGCAATTTTCGTTCAAATAGGGTTAATTTTGTAATCATGAAGCCTGATCCTTAACTTTATAATTCTGTTGACATGTAGGTATGTGTAGCATAGAAATAGGGCTAGCATAGAATATCCCGTGTGTAACTTCTTAGACTCTGGACACTGGTCTCGGGATGTGAAGTTTATTTGGTTAGTTGATAATTGTGGTCATGAAGCAAAAATTTGTCATTTAAATTCAATCCATACTCCAAAGCAGTAAAAGCAGTAGATTTTCTTGGGCTATATGTGTCACTTTAACATGACTTAATCTTTATATATAATCTATATTAGACCGAACTGTGGTATGTGTACCAAAGGTGGTACTTGGTTAGCTCTTAAGTATGCAGGTTTGCCTAAATTAGAGTTAATTTTTCCACTTTTCTGTCCTATTTGGATAATTTCTTATTTAGAACTACAGTGGAAATTATGTGGTCCAATTTTAGACCTGGTTTAGCCCTAGATTAGATCTGGAACAGTCCTGTTATATACTTGATATAGATCTGGTGGTACTTGGAAAGCCTAATTTTTTTCTTTTGTGGTACTTGGTTTGAAAATTTTGAGCGCATCCTGTCGTCCAAAGCAAGAAAAATGATCTGACAAGGCTTTTTTGCCAAAACGTTATTTAAAAATATATATAAAAAAGCTTTTGGACATCGACCATCTGACTGTGATATGCATTTTTTTCACTTTTACTTTGGTGTTCTTTGCATTTGCAACTCTACAAGAACTTTGGTTTGCGTTTTATGTTTCTTTTTAAAAAATTTACTAGCCATTGTATAAGACAAAGAGAATTTTGTTTGGTCATGGTGTTAGTAATTATGAATAATTCAAAGTTGTGATGTTTCTTTCTCACTAACTAAAATTTTATGAAAATTTGATGCCTACTCCTCCCAAAGATAGTGATAGCAGAGAGCATCCTTTCTTGCACTAGTCCGGAGCGCAGGTGTCCCTCAGACAATGGGCGTCTCTCTGTCGCTGTGGGAGGCTCAGAGCCAGTGCCACAGCTCTGCCCGATTCAGTCTGTTTCCGTGGAGACGAGGGTCACTGGGTGTTGGAATTTTTTCTGGGAAGCACTGACCCTGATTTATGAATTCATTTAGCTCCGGCCGCTATGACAGGACATGGCCGAGTTACCAGAGCTTTGGGCAGACAGTCACACACAGTCCTAACAAGCACCTTCTGAACAATGCCCTGGTCCAGACAAGTTCAGCTGATTATCCACATAGTACCACCCAATAAGACCTGTTATGGGTTTATTAACAAAAATTAAGATGCAATTTCCATCCACTGTACATGCTTGATAAAGCTGCTGAAAGATAGGGACACCATCTTCATGTCTCCATGGAGATGTTGTTGCTTTGCATGGATTGTTCCACAGTATGGTATTACAATTATGCATTGCCATGGACACAAGTAGGGGATGCAATCAGGTCAAATTCTGTGGAGAGGTGACTCCACTTACAGTTTTTAACTATAAAATTGCTATTGCTATTTTTAGCAATGAAAACACCTGTAATTGAATAACTACTGGCCAATTTAATGCCATTCTGTGGAACAGTCCAGGTAAAGCAATATTATCTCCATCATGTCGGATATCCCAAAGTTAAATAGTGGACCTTTAAAAAAAATTCTCACAATTAATAATTCAATAATTATTATTTTAAACATTCATGTATATTCATTCATGTTTGCACCTTTTTTGTCAATATCCCGGCTTTGTTATGACATGTAAACTAACATATTATTTGCTCTGTTTGCAGGTGTTTGCCTTTGACCATTGTTTCTGGTCAATGGATGAGTCCAATGTTCCTAAATATGCTGGTGAGTCACTGCTGCTAAACTCAGATCCTCAGATCCTGTCTCACATTAAGAACGTTCAAGGATCTGTGCTGCAGTCCTGCGCAGCACTGGACCAGTGCTAGTTTTGCATAATGCAAAACAGAAACTCAACGGTCCCATACAATTATTTCCATTTTAAGTATGTCCAATTCTCTGCCCGACAGTGAGAAAAACACTTGTGTTCACCTTAATGATGCATGAATATCCCACACAATCATATAGGAGAAATACATTAGCATTTCTATTAGCAGCTCCTTACACAACGCAATCAGGTTCAGTGTGCATCTTGTTTCTAAGGCATTTTATTGCTCCTAATGCAGAGCAGATTTATACAGAGGCCAGAGAAGTTTAGATTGTGATAGCTTCTCTGTCCTGTCCTCATGTAAATGTAATGTCTCTGCTCTGGGGCCATGGCTGATTTCAATAAACAGTTGTTCGGTTCAGTGGCAGCATGACAGTCGGCAGCACGAGAAATTCTACACAGAAGTACAATTTTATACACATAATGATACCAGCCTGTGTGGTTGGGGAATACGGCAACTATCACAATTTTTTCCCCTTTCTGAGTTTTGATTAAACTTTTTTGTCTTATTAAAAACATGTAAAATGTCTTTCAATATAAATTTTTTCAGACTTTTGCCATTTACCTCTAAAAATAGTCAAATTTCCTAAGTCTGAGACTTTTCACTAAAGCACAAACTATTCTGACAGAGAGTTGACTCTAGACACAAGCATGTAATTGACAATTTGAAATGTCTGAATTTCTGACAAATTAAATTAATTACCCAGCCCACCAATCAATCAGTCAGACATTGTGAAACCAGTATATCATCTGACAATATCCTAATGTACCACACATGGTTTTGTTTATCATAGTCACCACGGTGATGTTCCTTTTCTCCAAAGGTCAAGAGGTCGTGTTCAAGTGCCTTGGAGAGGGGATACTTGAGAATGCATTCCAGGGATATAATGCCTGTATTTTTGCCTATGGACAAACAGGTAAAATAGCATCCTTCAGATAATGATATTCAAAAGCATTGTTTCAGTTTAAAGTGCGCATATCACATAGACATTGAATATTGTAGACCTCAGAAAAGGAATAAAATAAGAATGCACTGGCAGTTTGGTAGTTTTGTTGCCTCTTAAACATGTTAAAGCTCATGTTTTTCTCATCACATTAAAGGAACTGCTTGACCTTGCATCCTGTTGTTTAGCAAATATGTTAAGCATGTTAGTCCTAATATCCTAATCTTAAGTCATTGGTACTACAGTAGACATACAGTGCAGTATATTTGGAGGAGTTATTCATGTTAAACAATGATTTTTGTGTAAAATTACTCATAGGGTCAGGCAAATCCTTTTCCATGATGGGAAACAGTGAGCAGCCCGGCCTTATCCCGAGACTCTGCTGTTCGCTCTTCGAGAGGGTCCACAAAGAGGAGAACGAAGCCCATAATTTTAAAGTGGAGGTTTCTTACATGGAGATCTACAATGAGAAAGTCCGCGACCTGTTGGATCCCAAGGGGTACGTTTACCAAAAGTACATTTTTCTTTTCTCTTGTATTCTCTTCTATTCTCTTGACTCAGTGTAAAATTAACTATTTCACATTTTTAAATATATATTATATGTTATATTTTTTGTATAGCATATATGTGCATATAAAGAATAATGCAAAATGTCAAGAAGTATCCCATCTTAGTCATTATTCACTTATTTGATCAGGCCAGATTTTTCTAGTTTGCTCAAATTTCGCTTAAAATTAGTATAAATTTTGTTTAAAAAATTTTTTTAAAGACACTTTGTAATATTGGTTGCACTTGTGTCTGCTTATATAAAACAGACTGGGGACAGAATGCAGCTGGTAGAAAAGAGAAAGCAGTGCCTGTTCATTTCCTGCTAACATCTTCTTCTGACACTGGAGCGTTCTTTGTTTTATGGTCAGGGAGGGGGCTTGTGTTAAGTTGCTCTGGGAGGGGGCTCTGGGCTTGTGTTAGGTTGCTCTGGGAGGGTGCTGCTCAGGGACATCTGTTTGTGACGCTGTGAGCAGAGAAGCGGTCAGATAAACCTGTGTCAGGCTATAGTCCACTATATGTGCCATAGATGTAATATTGCAGCTGTATGTGGCGTAAGAGTAAATTATATATCGTCTACATGATAATGTTTTTCAAAAGGTTTTGGAGTTATACAAAATAAGAAAGGTTTGTGTACTGTCTATGAAAAAAAGATGTAAAGGTCATATTTAAGGGAATATATATTGCCTTCCCTTTAAACTCACCATTTGTACTTAGATTGACCGGCCTCTGTTGCATTCTCACATTTCACCACTAGATGCTATCTACATTACTGCAGTCTCATAGTGTCCCAGTTTGACCAGAAATCAGTGGTAAAAAAAAATCACAATAATACACTTGAAAATGGTCGCTTTAATGTAGATGTGGATACAGGTTTTTGAAAGCAGCTTCCTCTGGTTTACATGGCCTGTGTTTCTGATCTGCCCATCTCTACATGTCCATCGTGACTGACCTGCATATTGTATATGTCTTGTTAGTACTTTTTTTTTTTATTCTGAAACAAATAGCATAAGAAGAAATTAAATAGGTTTGCATGTTACTTTTGAATCAGCTCCTGAATTTTGTGCATCCTCAAACTGCTGACTTAGTAGATTTTTACTCCAGTTATCCATCATGTCTGCTCATTACTGTGACTGGCATAAATCACAATAAAACAATGCTTGGTTTAAAATATCTTTTTGTCTATTTTATGTGTACGTTTCAGGAGTAGGCAGTCATTGAAGGTACGGGAGCACAAAGTTCTGGGACCATATGTGGACGGCTTGTCACAGCTGGCTGTGACCAGTTTTGAGGTGTGGTTTCCCTGCTGCTTTCCATCTTTGCTTAAATCCTTTTATTATTATTAGATGCTAGTGTTGTCATGATACTAAAATTTCAAACTCGATTTCATTACCAAGGAATAGGCTCAAAAGTCATATACCAATTTTGATGTCATAATGTTAATAAAAAAATACACATTTCAGCAATGATAACAGTAATTTTTTATGTTAGTAACTGGTTCTGATCAGGCTCAAGATTCTAAAACTGTCCAGGAAAGGTCTAACTGTGTCCTGTTTATTTTTTACTTGTTCAAATGAGTATAAAGTTTTCATACTACTTTGAATATTGATTAAAATCTGATAAAATACTTTTGACAACCCTAGAGACTCTTAGATGTTAGTTGTATAATATTCAGAAATTATGTAATAAATGTAGGCGTCTTATTTTCTTCTCATTGAATTTGCGTTTTATCCAAATGAGAGCTCTGAAATTGCTCCTCCAGCAATAACTTTTTTTTTTTTCACTGAATAAAGTAACAGGTATTTGTGAACAATGGTTTTTGTGTTGTGTCTCTTCAGGACATTGAGGTTTTGATGTCTGAGGGGAACAAGTCCCGGACTGTGGCTGCGACCAACATGAACGAAGAGAGCAGTCGATCCCATGCAGTCTTCAGTATTATTGTCACTCAGACGCTCTATGATCTTCAGTCTGGGGTGAGTGTTTTCAAATAGGAAAAACATTAATATAATACTAATACAGTGCAATATAGTGTTTACGGCTATAAAAGGTGTCAAAGAAAGAAAGATCCTGAAAGTTTAATGGTTATGGTTAATTTTACAGTCCTTAACCTAAGCCTATGCAGCCCTGTGTGGATACCTCAGCCTCATCACTATTATTTAAGTAATGATTTAAAACAAACATTAGACAATTCATGAGACTGAGAGCGAGATGAGAGATTTGAGGATGTTTCACCATATAATGTCTTGTTAAATAGTTAATTGTTATGGCAGCAGTCCTAAATTTTCATTAGCCTGAAACTAAAGACATTTGCAGCAAAATTTGTCAATTACTGGAAAATGACTGTTAATCATTGGGGCCTAGAAAATGTATGGACCAATTAATTGTTGTCATCTTCATCCATAGTTGAATAGTTGTTGTCTTAAATTTGTTTTACTGATCCCTTTTTGTCTTTCTTAAACAGAACTCAGGGGAGAAGGTGAGCAAGATGAGTTTGGTGGACCTTGCGGGCAGTGAGAGAGTGTCCAAGACCGGAGCTGCTGGAGAGAGACTCAAAGAGGGCAGCAACATAAACAAGTAATATAATCTAAAATTTGACAATGTCTCATATAGAGCATGGCTTACAGCTTGGAATGGATAGTGCCATCACTTATTTTTTTCATGTAAATTGGTCCAATAATGAAACAATAAAACAGGTCAAAGCAACTAGATTTTGATATCTGCATCTGCAATAGTGTAATTTATTGCTAATGTGGGTTTGATTTGTTTGTTTATAGATCTCTTACTACCTTGGGATGTGTGATTTCTGCCCTGGCCGATCAGTCCACTGGAAAGGGGAAGGCAAAGTTTGTGCCTTACAGAGACTCAGTGCTGACCTGGCTGCTCAAGGTTGTCATCACTCTATTTTTGAACATTTTATCCAATGAGGAATAAAAAAAGCTACAAGATTGCCATGGTAATCTTTAGTAACAGATATCAGTTTCCAGCAGCTGTGTTGTGACTGTAAATTTTTTACTCAAATTGCTATAGGGAAAACATTATTATTCTTATTGCAATTTTCATTACATTAATTTTGTAGATTTTTTCCCATGTTCAACCATACTGAGGTGAACGAAACTTTGAATATTCAGTTTCATAATTTCTTCTTCAAAACTACCCTTATTTGTCAATGAAATGTATGGCCTTGTTAGGTTCTGAATTGAACTGTCAGAAGCTGGCGAAGGGCTTATTAGTATCGCAAAGCATTGTGGTAAAATGAAAGAAGTTAAATATCTTTGCATTTTTATAGAAAAAAATCTATGACATTTAAATTATTTGAATGCTGTATTTTTATTTTTTTTAAACACCATCAAAACATGTTTGTAATTTGCAATTGCAATAACTTTATTTTGCAACTATGTGGCAACATGGAGTTAGTTTTTGGACCTGAAGAATCTTCTCGAGTTCCAACCATTGTTCTTCTTTTTGAATCTTCAGGTGTTGTCATGTTTATAACTGTGCTGCTGCACTAGTTCTCTCTTCTCTAGATGGTTCTTATGGAAGGACCATAAGAGCTCAAACCTGTTCCTCCTGGTCCACTTCTTCTCAGTCTTTTGGGGACTGAGCTTGTCCAAATGTGGGCTGGACCCTCACTTCCCATTGGCCTTGGATCTGGACGGTGATCACAAGATCTTTGGGCTCCACAAGTCTCCGCTGGACCAGTCTTTGTTTGGTCTTCATCTGCAGCAGGTCTCTAAGGTGTTTGAACCGATCTCTGCTGTGAGTCGGTTTCTCTTTGTTTAGTCCTCAACTGCTGAACAACTCTTTGCTGTGAGTTCTTTGGTTTTGGTTTAATCCTTTGCTGCAGAACAGATTGGTGCTTATAGTGGCTCACCATGTCCTTTCTGAACCACTTTTTCTGGTGCTTATTCTGGGCTTGATTTGCCCTCTTATGGTCAAGGTGTTTTTTGACGTAGCCTTGTTCCATCAGGGCTTGCATAAACCAACTCTGTTTCTGTTCTGGTGGTTTCTGCTCCATGTTGGGGCAAAGGAGCACATGCCAGAAGCTCCTGATGCTGCTTTTCAGACTGGTTCCCTCTGAGACAGTGAGGCATTCCATGGCAGACGTCAGTTCATCCATCGTTACAACCATCTGCTTTTTGGTGGAAAGGGCAGATGGGACAGGGGTGTGGACGGAGTTGGAAGCCTTCAGGCCAGTACCCTTTCGTGCAGTTGGTTTGGAATATGGCTCTCTGGCCTGTCCACTGAAGACATTTTATTGATATGCTCCATTTGGAATCTCTCTAGTCAAGGTTGAGCCTCTGCTCTTGTAGATTGTGGTGGTTTTCTCGAGTATGTCTGTAAAGTGAAGTGAAATGATCTCTGTCACTCATATATAATCATAAGTAAACATAAACATAAGAGCAAAAATCTGAATGAGGTAGAAGGGACATTTTATTTGGCCCGAGTGTGTAGGCATGCTCGAGTGCTGATTATTGCAGCTTGTGGATATATTTTTTACATTATTGCCTATTTGAATTTAGCCTTTTCTACAGTCACAAGAGGGCCACTGCAATTACCATGGCAGCAGTATCCATAGTTCCTATATCTTTATTTACATCTCATTGGTTCTGTCCTCTTTATAGGATTATAAACATATTTTTGTCTTATTTCAGGACAATCTTGGGGGCAACAGTAAGACAGCCATGATAGCCACTGTGAGTCCAGCGGCCGATAACTATGAAGAGACTCTGTCAACTTTACGTTATGCGGACCGGGCCAAGAGAATAGTTAACCATGCTGTGGTGAATGAAGATCCTAATGCTAGAATTATCAGAGAACTCAGGGAGGAGGTGGAAAAGCTCAAAGTTCAGCTCTCCCAGGCCGAGGTGAGTGCTGCTACATCAATTCATGAGAAATTAAAGGCTGATTATTACTGTCTTAAAAATGTGGAAAAATAGCACTAGTTTATGTTTGCAGCAGTCCAAAGTGCATTCCCAACATTCCATAATTTTTAAGTAAGTTTTTAAGGGCTTTATGCAACCTTCAGAGACCAGAGTGGAATTGTGCTGTCACATTAATACTAAAAATGAATAACATGGTTACATCATACCAGCATTACTTTTTGGTTTCCTGATGATATAAACACAGAGAAAGCACACAGCACTTTTGTTTTGATCCTAAGAGCTGCTTTTACAATATATTTTTACAAGGGCAATTTCACTTAACTGCATGAAAAAATGAGAACAGCCCATTTAATCGCATTTGTATTAAAAACTAATTAACAAGTCATAAAGAATGAAACTATTTACGTAATATGTCCTATGCAGAGAACATGATATTCCATCTCCATAGGGTCTTATTATGCATAAAACCTGCTAACCCTGTATTTAAGACCGGTACAAACATGTTCTGAAGTTCATTAGATTTTTTTTTTACTGGTTTAGCAGTACATTTGTCAGGGTTATTTTAATGTGTGTTGAGTTTGAAATGTGAACTGAATCCTGGTTTTAAAATATATACTTCAAATCTAATCCCTGACATAATATTTGTCATTAAGTGTGCAATTTCACTAATTCAATTTAATTAAATTAACTCCATTTATTATATTATCAAAATTTTAACAGATCTTTGACATTAATTGATTTATTGATTTATTTCTTGCAGTCACTGAAGGCGCCTGAACTAAAAGAAAAGCTGCAGGAGTCTGAGAAGCTCATTCAGGATCTGACCGTGACTTGGGAGGAGAAATTACGAAAGACAGAAGAAATTGCAACTGTATGCACTTATTTATTAATATTTGTTACATTTTGTGTCCCAGTTTATTACAAACTGTAGATTTTTCTTGCAACAGGAGCGGCAGAAGCAACTGGAGAGTATGGGTATCTCACTTGAAACATCTGGGATCAAAGTGGGCGAGGACAAGTCATTTCTAGTCAATCTCAATGCGGATCCTGCCCTGAATGAGCTCCTGGTCTACTATCTGAAGGTACTGCTGTTCAAAATGAAAATATAAAAGGTTAATTATTGCTTATTATCCTTTCCCATACTACTGCCAGATTTGGTTTGTTATTTGGTTGATTTGGTTTAAATAACAAGCGGCAGCCTGCTCAGACCAGTACCTAATATTTATTCTATCAGAACTCCCTTGTTGATCAGGGCTCCCTTGAAAATATAGTAGATTTGTATTCTCAATTGGACTTTCCCAGTTAAATAAAGGCTGAATTAAAAAGAAAAGTCCTTATTATGAATAATGTTATAATGTTATTTTAGGAAAAATACATAATATAAGACAAATTATTGCTGTGAATGTGGATCTCTGTTTGTGAATCCTTTATCTGCCCCTAGTTAATTTAGTTAAAATACTCTATGCTGCTGAATTTTCTCTTTATTACATTATGAACTGTGGACAAGAAGAGAAATAAAGTTAGCACAGAGATTGTTTGAGCATATGCATGTGAGAAAAAGGCCTGTACAGTCTGCAGAACAGCAGGCTTTTGTCCTGCTGTTTCAGACAGGCTTTACGTATCAGTGTGGAATGACTGCGGCTGTGAAGAGCCTTATTTCTCTACAGGGTCGGACATCCTCCAGAAGTCGGGATGTTTGTTTAACAACGCCCTTTTATTTAACAGTGCAAGGGCAGGCAAATTCTCTGTTGTACTTTCATACTTGATTTCAGCTTGATTTATGGCTACAATGGGCACTGGGGCTGCTTGATTATAGAGATACTCAAGGTTATTATTGATAATTATTTGTGTAGTGAAAAGGTTTTAGAAAAAGAATAGAAGAAAATATTTATCATTTATTAGTATTGTTTTAATATAAGGTTTTTTTTTGCAATTTGTCTCACTTTTTTAATTACACATTTTCAGATCTTGCTGTATCAAATCTCTTTCTCACAGCCACATTTTAATCAGTAGTTTAAGGGTAATGGAGACCTCTTCTGTCAATAGGAGCGCACACGTGTGGGTGCAGATACATCCCAGGATATCCAGCTCTTTGGGATTGGGATCCAGCCGGAGCACTGTGTGCTGGAGCTGTGCCCAGATGGTGATGTCACCCTGATGCCCATAGAGAATGCAAGGTCAGCCACTGCAGTGAGACCTATAGTATGTTTTCTATAGTGTGGCATGCATAGTAACATTACAGTTTTTAACATATAGTTTATATTACTAATTACAAAATTGTTCATTTCCAACAGAAACTAACCAAACTTGGAATTGATAAAAAAAAAAAAAAAATAATATATATATATATATATATATATATATATATATATATATATATATATATATATATATATATATATATAGTATAACCATATTTTTAGTCTGTCACATATATTCTAGGTTTGCCATTACAAATTCAACTATCTAGAAGTGGGCTTGCTTTATTGAAAAATCTTTTTTGTAGATATCTTAACTCTTAAGGTTTACATGATTTATGTGTTGACTCTATTAGGACATGTGTAAATGGAACTATCATTGACTCCTTGGTGCACCTGTGGCATGGGGATCGAATCTTATGGGGCAACAACCACTTCTTCAGGTACAGATTTTTACATAAGAGCACTAAATTGTTCTTGTAATTGTAATGTAATAATGCTGATATTAATCTATTTGTAGGATAAATCTTCCTAAAC